GGTTAAAATGTTAATATTCTCTATTCATTATGAAACCAATAGATTAGACAGACAGATATGGCTTACAAGCACTACAGTCTTCCTAATTCCTCTGCCCAAGAAACATCACAGCAGTCTATCTATGAGAGGTGTTTCTGATAAAATGAAGCTTACTAATTTGCTTTGCTACTTCAATCCCTCAAGCTATTAATTAATATAACTACGATTCACACATCATTTTTCAGGTCTGCACATAGATAAAGTAGGCACTAATTAGTTCATTTTAACTTCGGGTGAAGAGTTTGATTGTAGTTTTTCTTTTTTTTCTTTTTTTTTTTTTAAGAGTTTGATTGTAGTTTTTCTTTTTTTTCTTTTTTTTTTTTTTATTTCTCTGTATTCAAAAATTACATTAAAGTCAGATTAATATGAAGTTTATTTGAATTGAATTTATAAAAAAAAATAAAATAAAAACTTTCTCAATATTTATTTTTTCATTTGTAAAATTTAAATTTAAAACCAATCTTTTTCTATTTATACCAACAACTCCTTAATAACTGTAATATTCTTTGCTTTGATTTTCGCAGAAACAAACAAAAGAAAGAATCATGCAGCTAAGAAATGATCACTGGATCATGGATTTACCTACAAAATTGACAACTAAATATCAAATAAATAACAATTGAGAAGTGAATACAAAAAAATTTGCGGCAAACCCAAATTCCTTGTTGAAAAAGGAATCCACTACACTGCTGTCATGAGTTCGTAGCTTGTTCAAATGAGCAAATCGAGGTAAGAATATGGTATTACTTATTCAAAATTCCAATTGATAGTTGGGACAAGATGTTTACTGTCTTTTACCAAGGATGTTAACATCTCCTCCCGGCAAGTGTAAGACAGCCAAAATGTACGGCTGCTACTACCAACTCCACGCTCACGCGCTTGCGCACCTATGAGCAGGATGAGCTACTGAAATATCCAGTCCCCTGGCTCCCACACTCTACTGTGTCTCAAATGAGTTTGAGGTGTCAAATTTCACAGCTTCCAATTTTGAACATCTAACAATATGCACTCTTTTAAGTTGTTTTAAGCCTTGGAATCTTCATTCTCTGCCACTCATCGCATGAAACCATCCACACATTCTCCAGCCCCGGAAACTTGGAAATAAGATTATTGAACTGTCTCTGTCATCAGTTGGGTACAAGGCAATGAGATTAGACAAGCTCCCATCCATTTTCAATAATCATTTTCCATTTGTGTAAGAGTGAGTGTTTAAGTAAGGAACAATAATTGATATATTTTTTTGTTCAACACACCAAACAACATTTATTGTTTTAGTCATTAAAAAACTAATATTTTTAATTTTAAATTCAATGCAAAAAAATTTTCAAAAGTAAATTTTAACAACTGAACGGATGAGTATTATTAGGTGTGTTGAACAGATGTGTTGAACCGAACGATATACTAATAATTTCCCTTTTAAGTAAATCCTAATAGTTGTTCCATTCCCGGCCTATCATCCTTTAAGCCCAAATGCTTCATTTCCGAAAGCTCTGGGCCAAATAACTACTAAACCCACGTCTTAATTTAAGCCTCTAAAACAGACTTTCATTACTACCGTCAGCAAGAAAACTACCTCCACACCAGCACGTTTCCGTTTCTCACTAAACTCAAGGCGGAGCAAGGAGGAGGGGATGCAAGCAAAGAGCTATTGAAAATGGATGAATTAACAATTCGATGGAGATTTACTTGGAGAGCCTACACAAGTTGAAGCCCTTGCAGGAGTTCCTCCCATCTGCATTACCAGGTCAGTTTATCTTTCTGTTTTCCAGTTGGAATTTCTCTTATAGTTTATGTGTTTGCTTAATTATTCAATTTGGCAGATTTTATTGAAAGAAAACAAGTTCCTGTTTAGATATGAAAGTTTTTGGTTCTTTTGATTGTTTCTGGTGTGAATTATTTGTATTTTGTTTGATAATATATTAGTTCTCCAGGAATGGGGAAGGAGAAGAGGTTTTTGCTGAAAATTTTGTTGGCATTAATGTAGGTGTGTTTTGAATTTGTAAGACTTTAATTGTGTCCATTTTGGTGAACTAGTGATCGCACTTAGCTGGAGTTTCTATTAAAATGCTAATTTTCAAATTTTGCAGAAATAACAAGGAAAACTATGTAAAAAAATTGAAGTGAGATTTGTTTTAGTATTGCTCTACTTGATTGGAAGTAATCCAATAAATGGTTTTAAATTTATGGGGTTAATATTGCTCATAGATTTGTTTTAGATCAATTTTGGTCTTAAAAAACTTTTTTTTCAATGGATGGAATTTTGTCCTAATTTGACAAAAAAAAATTTGTTTTATGGTTTTGTAGAGTGGAGGCCAGACCCCATTCTTGCAAAAATACTGCTGTTAACAAATCTACTGCGTGGTCTGTGAAAAATTTGACATACATACCAGTTCAGAAACTATGTAGCCATTGACAATTTGACATATATACCAGCTCAGAAACTATGTAGCCATCAACATATATACCAATTAGGTTACCATGGTGCAGAAAAGATAAGGAAAATTTTCAGTTAGATTCTGGGAGTGAATGCATGTTAATTTAACAGCAACGTAAATATCTTCTAAAACAACGTGATTCATATTCCATGGAGAGGAAAAGGAACTGTGATTTGTGTTAATGAAAATCAGTTAGGTAGATGCTGCATTTTACGTTTTAGATTGTAGAAATCTCTGATTCAAGCTTCAGGTTTCAAGTTTTACTTCACTTAAAAAGCAATGAGATATAACTATCTAGCCTAGCCATTACAGACTTAAGGCCATTTTTATATTGTTGTAATGCATCTCTACGGTTTATTTTGATTTCAACAAATTTGTTGTGAATCCATGATGAGTTTATCAAATTGATTACGTGCAGAAATATAATCTTTTTGGTCTTGCATTTCTGGCTAGAATCAAGTCCGAGACAGATCGTTGAAAGGCAATTGACCTCAAGAATGTTGTTGTGGTAAGTTCATCATAAAATGAGAAAACTTGAGGAACGGTAATGTTGAGCCTGTAGGAAGTAGGGAGAGTATTTGGGGTTGGGGCTTCTGGTCTTAAAAGGAGAAAGAATGACTGTGAATAACTTCAGTAATAATTTATAATTTACGTTGTTGCAGGATATCTATCAAACCTTCACAAATATCAGAGGAAAAGAGGTTGTTACTGGATGATCCATCTTTCTTATGCGCAAATTCAAGTGACTTAGCATCTTTTTTGACCTTATTTATCAGATTAATCATCAATCCTTAGCTTTCAAGTAGTATTATCATGTAATGGCATTGTCCATGATATCCATTGAAGCAGAATAGACTTTGGCGGTAGTGCTTAGGGTGTGGTTGTTAAAGGTCCATGACAAAAAGTTGTAAGAGTGTCTGCACAGAAGCTACCAAAGCAGGAGTTCCAGGATGTAAAGACAGGTTGAATCGATGCAGCTAGCAAAACAGTGTCTCCTGCTGCGGCTTGGCACTCTCTTCTAACTCTTGGCAGCTTTGCATATGCCAGCCTTCTCTCCTTTTGACTCTCTCTTTATTGGCTTCTTTAACCCTGCTTTCTTTTGCTTTACCTCTGTTTTAACCTATTAATTATTCTGCTAGCTCATGCTACCCTCTCGTTTAGACTTGTAGTTAGCTCCACTTTACCACTAAAATAATGGTTATAGGGTTCCTATTCCATTCATCGAAGCTCTTAATTATCTCTCCAACGAACGCAGCCAAGAAAACTTGTTAGGATCTAGTTTATATTTTAACCATTATATTATTAACAATCCAAAAATATTTAGAGTTGCACAAAACTAACTTTTGATGGGAGGGGTCCTTCCACGTAAATCTTTAAATATGAGACCTGTTTCTCTCTTTATTTTTGGTTAAATTCTTAATTTGGTCCCTAAACTATTTGTAGACCTTCAATTTGATCTCTAAGCTAAAAATTTTCATGATTTGATCCTTAAATTATTGTACGAATCCTCGATTTAGTCCTTACTATTTATCAATTTGCTCCAAATAGTCATTTTGTACAAAAAAAATTGATGTGTCTCGTTATTAATATGACACGTGATCGTTAAGTTACTGTTTTTTACAGTTAAATTATTATTTTTTTCATTAAATAGTAGACACGTCAACTATTTTTTGTACGAAAAAATCAATTTAAGATAAATTGATAAATAATATGAACTAAATTAAAGATCTGTACAACAGTTAAAAAACTAAATCAATTATTTTTTTAGTTGAAAGATCAAATCAAGAATTCATATAATAGTTTAGGGATCAGATTAACCTTACTTTCTTTTACATTCAATTTTATTAAAAATTAAAGTAAAGGCTACCTGTTCGATTAGCATAATTTATTTAGACAAATGATGATTTGGGTCTCATTTTTTTAAGGGTGCCAAGTGCCAAGCAGTGGTTCCACCATTGAGAATGGGATCTAACGAGGGTGCTTTTGCAGAGGAAATGGATGCATATATTTGTTTCCGTACGGCATAACTTCTTTTTCCCATGAGAACATGAATGAACACCACGATACCCCAGTTAAATTAAAAATGTGGAACATTAACTCGAGGATGTGGGAAAAACTTAAAAAATTTAATGAAATTCTTATCAACACATTTAAAACACTTGAGAGTTTTATGATTCAATAACTACAAATCGAATTGAAAGGTTAAATATTTAATTCTTGAGTTAGAATTCAAATCCTTTACGTTAAATGTAAACCTGTTCCAAAAAGAAAACAAAAAGACCATACCGCCCCCTAGAAGATAAGGGCCGAACCAAGTTGGTGGGGTTTAATTAAGGAAAGGCCCGTGGGCCCGGCTTGATCGGGGAAACAACGTCACGTGGGAGCACACGCAGGAAGGAACAAAAAGTAAAAACCAGCTCTGCATAATTGACGTGCGCGTCTCTTTGAAGTGAATGGCACGTGTGCGCACGTGGCCCTCTCTTTTTACGACGAGGCTACGTGGCAAATTTTTACTGATGACTAATTTTGAACCCAAAACAAAAAAATAAAAATCCTTGAGATATTCCCAGGAGGAAATATCTTCTTTGTGCGAGAAGGTGATTTAATTGATTAAAAATATAAAATTTTAAATTAAAATTTTTTTTAAAAAAATAATTTTTT